CCCACAGTCCTGTCCTACAAAGACATCAAGATTTGTAGGAAATCCACCCTCCAGCAGTCCTGGCAAGCCAGACTGACCCCAGCAAATGAAAATAATCAAAAGTAATTAGAAGCGTGCTGGACTGCTCCTCAGAGAGCCGAGCAGGAGAGTAAACATGCCTGAATCCTCGAGCCACTGCAAAGGCCCATGTCTGAGCTGTTAGGTGCCCTGACCTTGTCCACATAAAGATGTGATTTATGAAGTGCAGGGCACAGCAGCAGGGCTTCTGTCTTCTCCTGGAGAACCAAATTACTGAGGTGGAGATTAACATGCTTTCAGTCGGGCCCATTTCCAGACCAAGGGAAATTTTTTATTTACATTTTTTTTTACCTTTAATTTCCTCTTTTCTTTTTGAACAGCCCCCCCCCCCACTAGATTTTAAAAAGAAAAAAAACAAAAGAAGAAGAAGGGCAGAATCCATCAAGGGTGACCAGACATCTCTATCTAGAATGATGGTCATCGGTTCTGAGGCTAGGGACTGTTGGAGCTTTTTGTTTGTTTGTAAGTTCATATCATGTTGGACAGTTCTGCTGCGTTCCCCTGCTCAGAATCGCAGAAATCGCCTTCAGATCCAAATATCCAAGTTTGTGAAAACTCCCCTGATTAAGTGATATATGTAATTAAATTTAAACAAAATATTACCTTTGATACCCTGGCTCCTGATTCAGCTTCCCTTGCCTAAATGTTAGGTTTTATTACAAGGCGCTCTAGTAGATAAAAAGATTGGGGGAAACTGTGGGTGGTAGAGAATTTGGAGGAGTAGGACGGGAGATAAATTGGGAGCAATATTTATACACAAATCAGTGGCAAGTCTCTTGAGTTTTAAAGACACATTTATATTTTTTCTTATCTTTATCTCAGTTAGGGTAGGTAAGGTTTTACAAACTCCCATTCTGACATGGAAAAGGAAGCATTGATTTTCTTTTTAAACACACATCAATATCTATACACGAAGCTAATTTAATTACCAGGCAGTTATTATTCAGCCAAATGTCAATTTCTCAGATTATTTCATGCTTCTTGACAGGAACTGTATGAAACAGGATTTAAAAGGATATGTATGAATGAAACTGAACTTGAGAAATGTAAAACTGCACTTTGTTCTTGAAAAGCTACAAAAAAAAGTCTTAAAACAAAAATGTCAGGCTTGGAGTTTTGTGCATTTAGCCACCTCAAGAAATCTGAAGCTGCAGAATTAAGGGAATTCTACTTAGGCTGAGGTTATAAAGTACTTTCCTCTATAAACCAAAAACATAATGTCAGAGTCAATGGGAACGTACTTTATTAACTTTATAGTATTGAAAACTGCCAGCAAGTTGTCTTATTTTTAAATATTGTCCTCTGCAGAGTGTTACAGTGCTGTTTGTCCACAGGAAGCCTATTAAAAGTGGACAGTGCAGTCATTTCATCTGGCTTTGGCTGGACTGCTTTTCTTTCCTTTAATGATGTGCTGGAATGTACCATGCCCATAGGGTCTCCATTAGCAGAACTTTTACTTCTGGGACGACCATGAAGTTTAAGGCTTAAAAGAGGCATCAGTTTACAGTCTTGTGGGAATCACTTGAATACTGGAGCACTAACTTCTTACTGCTGTAACTAATATATTGACTTATTTTAAATAAACAGGTACACAGTGAAGGCAGAGCAGTGGCCTTATTGGAAATCTTTGGGCTTTTTAAAGATTCTGCAACCCACACAGCTGGGGTAGGAAGAAAGGGGCCTGAGGAGGGTTTATGCCCTTTTCAAACTGGGAAGAAAACACATTAACCTCTCCCACCCCAGCCCTGCCTGATCAGTCAAAGGAGGATCTTTACAACTTCCAGAAAAATCTATCAGTTCACACTCAAACCTCCTGTTTTCCAGTGCCTCTTACCCAGTAAACAATAATTAACAGAGCAATAAAGGAAACACCTATTATGCCTTCTAGAAAAAAATCTTCTGAAAGTATGATTCTCTTTTAAAACACTTCTGATAAGACACATGCTCCCCTCCCCCGAGCTGTACCTTTGTTAGAGTTTGTGCTGTCCTCCAGTCCACCGAATATTTAGATCATCTGACCTGATACAGGTTTGCAAATTAAAGCTGGTTTGAGATCATAGTAAAACCATTATTTTTAATAGTCCCTTTCAAGGGCAGCGTTAAACACCGCAGAACACGCATGTTACTGATTACAGCTGAGCAGACATCAGGTTTTGCAGATTAATTTGTAACTGGGAACTACTGTAAACAGATTTCACCAGAAATCCCAAGGAATAAAGGAAACTGGTGGTGGTATTTGGCTCCTTGCATTTATTGTCTTAGAAATCCCCCGAAGGAATCCAAGCTAAAGGGAGAAAAACAAGCCCTCAAAAACCCTCCTCTTCTCCCATCTCACTTAGGTGGGAGGACAGGGAGGGCAGTGGGTCTTCCCCCTCCCGGAGATTGTTATTTAAAGGGCAAGAGGGGTCCTTAAAGGTTCAAGAGGCTTTTCTAGCTAACTGGGATTTCAGGATCCTTTCTTCAAAGTTCGACTTGTGTCAAGAAAAAGTGAGGAACTCTCCCTTTGGTGACGTTACTGTTATATAACCAAAGGAGAGCGGCAGTAGAATGAAAGGGGGCAGGAGAGAGGAGGCAGAGAGGCATGGAGATAATCCTGCTTTGCCAGCCTGCTTGGCCTCAGATCCTTATGGTGCTTTCCTTAGTATTTCTTACAATTAGTTCAGTGCAGAACACGACTGATGATGACGATAATGATGCTATCAGGGCAACAGAGGTAGCGATGAAACGAATCCTCCATGTCTCAAGATAAATCTTGGAAGGGCCCAGAAAGCACTCTTTTGGCTGTATTTGGAGAATCTGCTACGTAGGAGTAGCCCTGGCCCAGGGCCAGTTCCCAGAGGGTGTCGGCATCCGGCTGTGAAGGCGCGGGGCGGCTCCCTGCGCGGGGTGCAGACAACGGCGGGTTCACCTGGGTGGCTGGAGCCGCAGGCGCTGCTCTTTATTTCGGGGCACAGCGCCATCTACCGGCTTCCTGCCACACCTGCAAGTATCCCGACCTTGCGAGTCCGCCCCGCCTCCCCCACTCGTGCCCAATATAAGGGGGAAAAACTCCGAGGCCTTTCCACGAAATTCTAATTTAGCCAGCACTTGCTACTGATTCCACGTGACCTTTGTCTCCCCACCAACGTTTCCTCCTTTTCAAAGCAGTCCTGTGAAGGGCAAGGAGGTGGGGGCTGCGGACCGGGCCTGGGCTGGGAGGGCTCAGTAGGCTCCGGCTCCGGGCTCTCAGACCCCCTGATCAGGCCGCACTGTCTGCAGCAATCGGTTCCCCAGATTACTTGTATTTAATACACAATGCATCATAAAACAAATCCCTCATCCTGACAGGAAGAAAATAGAACAGCTCATAGCTCGAGCCGGTCCAATTTATGGCTAAATTAAAAAAAAAAAAAAAAAAAAAAAAACAAAAACCCTCCTACAATGGGCAAGTTGAGGAAGGGCAGGAAATCAATGCTACAAACCCAGGGCCCGGCCCTTCAAGGTTCTCAAGCGCCGAACTCTATGGGAATATCTGACTGGGTTCTGGGTTATTTACAAAGGATTTTTCCTGTCCTACCTACCACTGCTGTGCGATTTTTCCCTCAAACAATGGCCATTATCTGAAATAACAGTTCAATGTCACAGATAACAGGCCACCGAAACGAATTAGTCACCATCTCTTGTCATTTTTCTCCCCCACATCCCTCCCTTTTGTTACTATTTTTGTTTTTAAATCAGCTTTGGTGAGGGGGGAGGATAGATCTACTAGATTTTCACGTTTACTTGCACTTGGAGAAAACAAAAAACTGGGTGGCACTCGAGTTGTCCCGGTTGGAAGCTAAAGTTTAACGACAAGGCGCGCTCTGGTTGGCCCCACCTCCCCTCGGCAAGGGCCCTTAGAGGCGCTGGCTTTACTTAATTTTCCATTGTTGAGCTGGGAAGAAGTAGGATTTTGTGCATTTGTTTTTAAAAAGTTTTCTGATCAAAAATCATTTATTTCCACGCAACTGATGGGCTAACCGAAGTTCTTTCAACATGGACTACAAAATAGGTAGACCCTTGGCAGCCCCACTGTCCTTCCAGTGTCTTTTCTCTATTGTGTTGATATGAGTTGATCAAATATATATCATAAAGTTATTAAACATAATATAATGCTGATCACTAAACTTTTTTGCAGCAGTTGTGGTGTTAGAAGTTTAAAAAGAATCTGGGTTGTCACATTAATTCTACTTTTGAGCTGTCAGGGTGATTTAATTAGCGTATCAATGAAATGGTCCAAACTCACCAGTCTATCTTCAACCTTCCTAAATCCACAATATCTTATTTGGGCAAGTTGTATGCAAATAATGTTTTTTAAATCTCTTCCTCTAAGGAAAAAAAAATTACGATTTGAAATTTTAACAAGCCTTTCTGCTGACCCAACTGTAAGAATAGTGGGAATAAATTTGAGTACACATTTCAATTAAAAAAATATCAAAAAGATACTTAGCAGAAAACTGGGACCGCATGTCAACTTTTTCCTCTTGAGACTTTTCTTGGCTGGGAATTTCTGCACTAATTATGTTTGGTAGGAGCCAGCTTCCCTCTCTCCTAAGCCTCATCTTCGTCCTTCCTTGCGCCCCACCCCACCCTCCAGCGCGCACCCTCACACCCCTGAAAGCCCCCCCATTCCCCCTCACACGCGCGTGCGCGCGTACACACGCGCGCGCGCGTACACACACACACACACACACACACACACACACACACACTTTTACACTTGTGCTTTCAGGACATTGACACAGAGGATATTTCCCTGGGGAAAGAAATCCTGCCTGGCGAGACCTCCCCATTGGTTGTTTACCCGGAGAAATCTACATGTTTAAGGGGGATGGTGCATCCGTAATCAGTCTGTCCCTATAGGACTTGGGTCTTGGCGACCTTTTTGTGACCTCTCCCGCCAGAGGAGGCTGCTGTCACTTTAAAATTTACTGAAAGAAGAGCCCAGCTTCCGATCACTCTGGGCGGCTTCTCCCTCTCCCCGGGTTCTTTCTGGATGGCCGAGCAGATCTTCTTTAAAGAGACAGTTCATGAAATAGAAACCCGGCTGCTGAGCTCGGAGTTGCGAAAGGGGACTGTCCGGGAGGGTCTGGGACCGCGCAGGCTGCGGCGGAGCTGAGCGGGGTCGCGCTGCCCTCGCCGCGGACCCCCACCTTCGCGCGCTCTGCTCCTCCAGCCTGTGCGCCCCCCTCGGGCTTGGGAACCAGAAGTGGAAGAAGTTTTAGTGGGTTTCAGATAACTTTCATTACACATCGGGCTGATAAGAGCAAGAGAAAGTGAGAAAAGAGGGAGGTGATGTGAACCAGGAGGCATAGCTGCGAGCTCGTTTAGGAAGGAAAAAAAAAAAAAAAAAAGCCAAAGACACCCATCCCGGGTCACTCAGACGAGAGAAGACTTCATTTCTGGTCTTAAAACACACTGGTGGAGGACAATAAATCTGAAACGCGTGGTCCCGGCGAGCAGATCCTAGAGACGGACAAAGTTATCAGAGACCCTTTTGGAAATCGAGACGCGAGGCTTGTTTTTTTTTTTTTTTTTTTTTTTTTTTTTTTTCTTCTCTCTCTTTTTTTTAAAAACAACTCGAAAAATGTTGCTGGGGATCGTTTGAAAGGATTTTCGTGCATGAGCGTTGAGGGCTGCTGATTATTTTATTTTGTTTATTTCTTCTGTGATTGCCTTTTATTGCTGAGTTGAGGCCATAGAAATCTTAAGGTAAGCTAACTAAAGGAAGAAAAAAAGTGTTGGCGATGTGCATAGTTTGTCCCCGGGACAGCTTCCTGCCCGGCACCCCCTGTCGGGGCGCCCCCCGCGCCGCGCCCCGCTCCTCCGCGGCCCCGCCGAGCGCCTTATCTCGCGCCGAGCCCGATTTCCTTGTTCCTCCTGCGCGCCGGGCGGCCGCGGCGGCCGTGGGTGTCCGGCCTCCGTGGGTCGCTCCGGCGCGGTCGGCCTCCTTCCCTCGCGCTCTCCTCCGCCTCTCCCTCCCTCCGCGGGTCCGTCGGTCGGTATCCGGACGCAGAAGGTGGGGTTTGCCAAAATCTGAATTCCTGGCACCGGCCACGCGACTTTGGAGTCGCTTTTGGCCGGGTTCTACCTTGCCAAGTAAGAGCTTGACTGTCCAACGTCGTGTGCTGCTTCTCCCGAGAAAGTCACATTCGGACCCTTTGGCTAGGTGGTGGGGAATTTTTCCCCCCCTTTTCCCCTTTGCTGTTGAGTTTTTGAAAGGGCCTTTCTCGAAAGTCCACCTACAGAGGCTTTTTAAAAAAGCTATCTCTGGAGCTTGACAGCATTTTAAAAAGCACAGAAAATACAGCAGTGTATTAGGTGGAATGACGGAAGGTGTGCTGTTATTTTATTTTATTCGAGATTTCTGAGACAATTAAGACATATGGGAGACAGCTGCAGTTCTACTAGCAAATCAAAAGTGAATAATTCACCTGGGGTAGGGAGGGGACATTTATAAAGAAAATTAAGCTTTTGTTTGGGGCAAGAATATTGAGTAAGAAAGTTAATGTTGGTGAAATCTTTGAATAATCATGTAACAGATTATGTAAAAAGACATTCTTTGGAAATGAATCTTTAAAAAATTTAACTTTTCTGTTGACAGTGGCAATGGCAGTAATGTTAACACGGAATAAAATTACACCTAGGATTTTTTATGTGAAGTGTATGTAATACTTCACTCCTTTCCCCTGCAAAAGTGAATGTTGGAAAGGCGAGGGGATGGGTGCTTCTTGACTTTTAAATTAACAAGTTTTCCACTTCTTTCTGCAAATATGAGATGGAACTGATGTTGCATTTCACTGGCTTCACCCTGTTTCCTCTCTTAAATATTTCTCTAGTGTGTCAGTGTACCTGCCTATTTTTTTTACTAGTCGAGAAAACAATAAAAGGCCAACTAGAAATCAAATCAAAACAAACAAAACCGAGCAACCCAGCGTTTTACCCAGTAAAAATGTGCACTGTATAGTAAGTTACGTGCCTTCCCCACATCTGGGAAATGGAGAAATCCAAAATTGCTTTTTAAGTTAGTCAACTACGAGAGTTAAGAAATATCTTAAAGCCTGCAATTGTATAAGTAGGAAATTGTTAAAAATTTGTTCACCCTAGAAAAGGTATTTAGGTGTAGACTTCTTGTTAGAGTGAAGAAGTGTCCTTGAAAAAGAGGCCGTGTGTGTGTGTGTGTGTGTGTGTGTGTGTGTGTGTGTGTGTGTGTGTTTAGCAGCTATCTCTGTCCTCTGTTTCCAGCTTTCCCTTTTCAATCCTGGGACTACCCACTGCCCTTCAGTTGCCCCATGTCCAAGGGCTTATTCTTAGCTTCCCTTGACTAGAGCTCAGATACTGGGTTCCTCTTGAAGTATATGGTGAGTTGATGACTTGAGCCTACAACTGGGTGATTACCTGAGTTCTGTACAAAACTATTTTTCATCTGGATACTCAAGACTTTAATTTTAAGTTTATCTTGTTATGGATGCAGCAGAGTTATTAGGGGTTATTTAATTCATTAATTTGCCTTCCAGACTACCTTGTTTAGTTTTTGATAGGAGACTTCCTCAGCTTGCATTAGCTGAGTGACAGAACATTACCAGCCTCTGTAGTTGTCCCCATCAAGTGAAGACTCTCAAACTTTTAATATGGATGTTTAAGACATTTTTGCTCAAGGGGAACCAGAACAGAGTGGTTTAAGTACACAAAACTTTGTAAGTGGAAGTTTCTCATGCCAATTTTTGTTCATAATTATCCTAGTAATTTTAAATTTAGGATAGGCCAAATGTGAAAAATCTCATGAAAAATAACAAACACAACCATTTATGATGATGGAATATATTATAATATTTATATCTATTCACAAGCCAGTTTTGTCATTTTGCTTACTGGATATGATACGCAATAAACATTGACTGTATTAACTAGGACCTTAGGTTGCCATACTTTGCATGGGTGTTTACTTATCTATCAATAATTTTCATGATTTTCTTTAGTTTGCTCAGATGCATTTATGAGGCAAATTGTATCATCTCCTTCAGCTAAGTGTGTGATTTAATTGTTTCAACGTGAAAAAGTGCAAAGTGGAAAAGGGACATTTAGTAATATTCACATTATAGTTTTAAATGAATTAAAGTATAAAAATGTGAAAATACAAACTTACATGAGAAGACTATCTAAACCTAAGATACTATTTAGTTATCCAAACTAAAATAATGAATGTTTAGTTCAGAAAAATATTAATGTATGCTTTCCAATAGTATTTTCTGTAAAATGCATCTGATTAAATTAAGGTATAAACATTCAGTCATGTATAATAACAAAATAAGCATGTCTTGAAACTAGGCACTTTTGTAGTAACAGTTGCTTTATTCTTTTTTTTTAAAAGTATCCTATTGTCATTTACCAGATAATTTATTGTTATTTATTTTCTTAATATGCATGCTGTCTGACTTTCTTATTTAAAGGATTCAAAGAAGGCAGAGATGTTTCAAAGAGATGTTTTAAAGCAACTGATCATCTTCATGAATGGAGCAATATGGCAAATTGATTGTTCTCATCTTCCTCCTTCTAGATCTTAGATGAGTTTTGCAATGTCAAGTTCTGCATAGATGCCAGTCAACCAGATGTAGGAAGCTGGCTCAAGTACATCAGGTTCGCTGGCTGTTATGATCAGCACAACCTTGTTGCGTGCCAGATAGATGATCAGGTATGTTGTAAAGATTTTCTTGTCTTTCTTTGAGAATACTAAAGTATCAGTGAAGCCTCAAGAATGAAAATAACCGTGAGCTGCAGTAGACCCTTGTGGCCTGCTTGTTGTGGTAGAAGGTAATGCACAAATTTGGGAAAGATGCAAAGCAAGGTCACTGTCAGTACTTCCTTTCAGTACTACTTACTTTATGTAGTTTATTCACTTTGTCCTAGGGCCCTGCAGAAATGCTCCAGTTTTCTTAGTAAATGAAATGATCTCAAAACTAATTCCTTATTACAGTGTCCTGTGCATTTTTTTCGTTACCGTCACAGTAGGTACATTCATAGAAAGTATTGAGCTAGTTAAGAACACTTTATGAATTTATGCAGAGATTGGAAAAATATATTTGAAATGTTATATAGTTTTATCTGAAATAGTAAGTATGCATATGACACCAATTAAAGCTACATAATTATTCATTTATATTGATTTGCCTAATTATAAGTGCAAACTTTTAGAATGGTCATGATACTGATTTTTGTATATGTGAAAAAGTTAAAAATATCATTGTTGGAAATCGTGTTGTGACATTAGGAGGACCATGCAGTGAGGCTGTCCTTAATAACAGTAACTGTGAAATCAAGATCACAGCAACATCTTTAAACATATTTTACACTTAATAAAATCAGATCATGAATTTTACCCTAGTATGTGAATATCTAAAATAACGAGGTTTATTTTAGTTTGCTGATTTTTTGTTTTATAAACATCATTTGGTTATAATATAATTATATTACAGTCATTTATTTCTTTTAACCTAATGCTTCCTTAAAGCAAATATGTTTCCAAGATCATATTGAAATGGTTGCCTGGCAAATCTACTATGAAATCATCACCAAGAAAAAGAAAAAGTTTCATTTAGATGTTTCCAATTGAAAGCTATTAAATAAAGCTAGCTTAATATGGTCTAAGACTCTCTTTCAATCATCATTATGAAATTTTTCTCTGGCATTTTACCAATTATCAGATAATTTTTACTGGCTAAACTATAGAAGAACTAGTAAATTATATAATTAGGTTTAAATAAGAATCCTTTTAAAATCTTCAGTACATATCAAAAATAATAAACCGATCAATTGGTATTTTTCCCTTTGCCGTAGGAAAACAAGGGCATTATTGACAAAGGAAAACATTATTAAATTAGCTATTGATTATAGGCAGCAAATATCCCAAGTCTTGTATATGAGTCACTGTCACCACCAGTAACATTTTTTGAGTGCTCACTATTTGTAGAAGTGGGAAATAGATAGGTTTTATAAATAAGAAACCTTGTTCCCTATAGAATGAACTACAGGCCTTAAAAGATACCTTTAGAGTGAAATAATCTAATTATACCATAGCAATTGTCTGCTATTTATATTTATTGACAATAGGAATTATGTCCACAGTCAGAAAAAAACTGGTTATCGAATTAGTGAAAAGATGATTTAAGAATGGGACTTGCAGCCAATATTAGCCTACATGTAGCCATTTTTTCATTCAATATATATGTGTCTATGTTTTTAATAAATTTGCTCTTGTCATTGAAAATCTTGGTTACATTAAAAAGGAAAACTGTTTTACTGTTCCTAACTATGAATTAAATTGTTCGTTAGAATAAGCACTTATAATTTCACCATAGTTACTTTTAAAGTACACATTGTTAAAAGTATTACTTTTTTCAAAGAACTTATGCTATCTTCATATCTTAATGAAGAACATATTTACTTATTTTAACTAATGAGCCAGGGAAAATAGTCAGAACAAACACATAAAGTCAACAGCTGAGCATATTATTTCTTTAAATACTCATTTTAAATTACTATAGTATGGTGGCAAAAATCTAAGATGGCTGCAAAGTGCCTATCAAATAACATAATTGTGAAACTAATATTGCATGGTCAATAAGTTCACCCATAAACAACAAGAGAGAAAAGCCAGAGGTAAAAGTCAGATTTGTGTGATAGATACGTGTGTGTACAATCATACTTAGCTCAGTTGACAAGACAAAGGAGGACAGACACCCAAATGGTGTATGCATGTATTATAAGCATATCATAAGCTTATATACACTTTCTAAAAAGCCAATTAAGGCTAGCTATTCTAGACAGCTTTGAAATGTGAATGTTGGACTAGGTACAATGATAGAAGAGCTGACTAAAGAGATTCTCTTGGTCTGTTTCTTTGCTCTCTTTTCCACGAGGAATAGGGGCTGCCAAGTGGTGAATAAGCACAAGTCATCACATAATGAACACTTTCATTGTGTGAGATATTATTTAATATCCAGACATAGAAAGAGACTGTGGACCAGGAGTCATTATTAAACATTAAGGATGTCGACTCACCTGTGTAATACAGAAGCAAATTTGCATTTTAGGAGAAATTGTAAAAGGCATTTCACTGTGAAGGAGCTCAAGTTTGTAAAATTAGTTTTCATAACATAACAAGTATATGTGTTAGATACAAAAAAGAAAAAAAATTCAAATGAGTCTTTCAACTACAACCGAGTCATAGCAATGATTAGATCATCTCACAAAGAAAAAGTTTACAAGAACAAAAGTGTACGTAGTTTACTTTTGCAAAGGTATATATATGTATATAGATAGATAGATAGATAGATAGATAGATAGATATAGATATACACATATTTTAAAATTCTGATGCTGCTGATTAAATTTAACAAATTTGAATCATTTTTACAACAAAGTGGAAGAACTCCATAAAAGAAAATCTGTATGCTTGCAACAGTGGTAGTTTGGTAGTGGTGGGACTCTTTATTATATGTATTTTGGGTAAACCCCATATTGATTTGTTGAGGGGGTGATTCTTTATGACTTTTCATTTTTAAACAAGATTGATAAAAATATAATTTGTTTTATATCATAAAATAAAAACAAAGACTGTTCACCTAACAGTTCTCCAATGCCTTCTCACAGGCATTTTTATCTGAGACGATTTTCCTTGATTTGAATTTTCCAACAGATCTGAATTATTTTATTTCAGACCAGAATGAGCTCTGACAGCTTTTCTTTTTTGATGATGATGCCCAGAAAGCCTCCAGTCGTGTGATTTTCGATGTCCCATTCATTTTGCATTTTTAAAATTATTGTGGTGAGGTGATCTATTTGGAGATAGAAATTCTGAAAGCACAAGTATCACAGTTAACCCATAATTTCTCAATAGCTTCAGCTTCTGATTGATATTGTTATTCCCCCTGAAAGTGCTTTAACTATAGTAATGTATCTCTATAAAAGAAGGCCACACCAAAAGCCCTAAAAAATTGACACCACAGTCACACTCAAGTAATAAAATAGCAGTGCCATTAAATATACCCAAGGCCCTTGATCCTTGATGTTCTAATTGTTTTACCTCCTATTCTTTAAAGTACCTGTACAATACTACATAGTACTATATAATTGTATAGCTGTGGCACAGTGGTTAAGCTGTACTGAGACAGACAATACTTAAAACACTTTTTCATTTTACCAATTTAAAATTATCCTTGGCTGTGCGCAGGAGTAAGAACTGCTGCTGAGACGTAGAGATGGGATGGCAGGAGCAAAAGCAGAATATTAAATGAGGAAAGTGCTTCCACAGTAGGTCCTCAAGGGGACCAGTATACAGAGGAGGCGTGCAAATGGTTTCCCAATTCTTCAGTTTCCATTTATATCTGAGATACCCATTTTAATAAGTAGAGTAAACATCTGAATGATTTACTGAGTTTTAAAATATTGAGTAATTTCCTATCTTTCCCTTTGAAGTCTTGCAGATATCTTCCTTTATAAAACATATTGATTGGTGGGTGTGCTGCATTTCTTTAGATTTGGCCTCACCCTGCTCCTGCCTTTCCTTCCATCCTTTAGTAACCCCCCTTGAGCCCACATTCCTGTATCCTTCACCTAGATCAAAGGAAAGGCTACCCACTGACTGCCCATTATACTCAAATAATGCCATTTGAACATATTCACAAGTTTTGTGTACCTGTGGAGTAGTTCTCTAGACCCCACAGTTTTATTCTAACAGTTCTTTACAAAAGCATATTGGTTATAATCATGAAGGTCATGAAGGCACAATTTATGTAAGTCGACTTTTTAAACTTAATGCCTGTCTTTCTACTTAGGACAGTGAGAATGACCTGGATGTGTGTTTTAGGGTAATATTATATATATATATATATATATATATATATATATATATATATATATAGTGTGTGTGTGTGTGTGTGTGTTCTGCTCCATTGGAAGGATGACAGTTTCATTCAAACTTCTGGCCTGTTCTAACATGGTCTTCAATAAAGAGTGAAGTGCTCGGAAACTCTAGACATTATTAATCTTGTCATTTCCACAAGGTGATAAGTCCTTTCACTTTTAAACAGGCCTTTGACAGCTGGCATTTAGTAAGTAGAGTAAGAGAAGTCTCCTGTTCACCCTGAATGTGAAGAAGAAATGTGTCAATAAGAGTTTATGCAATACCTGACATATATACATATATATTTAAATGAGATATAAAAGAATGAGTGCCCATTAGAAAACATAAAGTCGGAACTCACTCAGGGGATTCTGCCAGGTCCCCTGTGGTTAATGAGTGGCAGCAAGACTCCACAGCACTTTCAGCTGGAACAGGCATTGTTCTCATTTGTGCTTTACCTTATAAAGTTTTAACTGCTTCCAGGACGATCATGGCTGATTTGGTACACACGCGTTCACTCTCCTTATGTTCCTGGGAGTGGATCTATCAGACTGTAGGACACTCAAATGGTATTATTATTGGAAGCTTATTATGGGCTCAATTATTAAGTTACTTTCTTTGGCTTTTTACTGAGGAAAAAAAAATACTTCCCAGCATCATTTGATGGATACAATTTGTGCAAAACAGCAAGGTAAACGCTGATTTGCGTAAAAGTAAAAATGTAATCTGTTAACTTCTCACTTTTTAAAATTGTTGGCCTCTACTGTCAGGTGATTTGTTAATTTTCCCTT